GTGCTTATATCGGGTTGTGTGTGAGGTGCGTGTCCGTTGTTATTGAATGGCAGACAGCAATAACAACGGACACGCACCTCACACACAACCCGATATAGGCACCCAGGCGCGTCTCCAAAATTAAATGAAAGAAGCCTGGAGATGTAATAAAAACGGATAAAACATAAGCAATATAAGCAGAGCAACAGATACACCAGATTTTAATTTTAATTTTGATAGACCTGACGATGATAGAATTGTATATCGAAACATGTCGTCAATTTTAAAATGTAACAATTTTATGTGAAAATTTTATATGATTTTAACAATAAGCTTGTGTAACGACGGAAAATAAAAGTACTGAATTAATTATACTTAATTGCCGTGAAAGCTTCAGATCATACAACGTTAACACAGGTAAGTGACATTTTTCTAGGTTTAAGAATATATGTTACCGGCAATGCATAGAATACCTAAAGTCAGTAGGCAAAGTATGAAATAAATCGTAATGTTAATATTGTTCGATTGCGTAAATTAAAATTAATCAAAGTCGATTGGGTAAGCTGTCAAAATAGTCGCGAAAACACCAAGCTACTGAATCTGAACATAACAAAAGTTTTGAGAATTAAAAAATGTTTTATATTAAGGCTTTGCAAATATAAAAGATAAAATAAAACTGTATAAATCATATTATAGGAACTTCTTTCTTATATACGAGTAATTTGCCTAAAGAATCTGAGGCATTTTATAAAATTCCTACGTATTCTATTGAATACCTAGGAAAAGTATAAAATAAACTGTTACATTGCCTAAAAGTCCTTGGCATTTTACAAAATGCCTGAATTTCATACTTTGCCTACTGACTTTAGGCATTCTATACATTGCCGGTAACATATACACTAAACAAAGACAGCTTGTTCACATTAATGAAACACAACCACAATGCATTATATTGATACAATAAAAGAACATTATTTAGTTCCACGGAGCTGACAGGGGCTGAAATCTTAATAAATATACTTCCTGGACACCAACATTTTTCTTTCCTAATCATAGCGCCTCTTATTTTCTTTTTATTTACAGCAAACTCCACTGAAATGGTATTTTAACAATATATGAGAGACAAAACTTCATGACACAAATAATAAAATGATGCTGACTGGGGCCAAGAAAAATACAGAATATAAACAGTAAAATATAAGCTAGAATAATGTATGAGGTTTCACTGTATGGTGCCATGGAACGTAAGAACCGGAGGTACATAATTGGTGTAATATCTCAGCAATCTGCTGGCAGCTCTTCTAGATTACTACCACAAAGAATAAAAACTTCCACATTTTTCAGACACTCATGCAAAGTCTTCAGGTATACATCGCCACACTCTTGGCACTGCAGCTATCAAAAATCTACTGCAACAAAACGTCAGGATTTCAATACAAGTTTTCCAGAGGAACATGTCACCTGTAACTTTGGGGTAAAAATTCAAAATATGGGAAAAATATGTTCCTCCAAATTGTTGGTAACCACCCATTAGGACTATAAAGCAATTAACCCCAACATCCATAACCCCCCTTTTCACTATAACAAAATACGAAATTCTATAACAAAATAACCCACTGTTTTATTACATAATTTGATTATGTTACATAATGCTGTTTTGCTGTATTACGCTGATTCCACTGCAGTTACTTGGTCTCACCCTACGTAATATGGATGTACAACAGAAATAAGGTATTCCATATTCCATTTTGTATGCAGAAACAGATTAGCAATGGGCCTCACGTAAATGGAGACCTGTTGATGGATGGTTCGTATAATATTTATTGCTGCTGTATCAACTGTAGAGGTCATTTAGTGCCAAATAAACTGAGAGAATCATACAGTGGACCACAAATGATATGAAAGGGACTGGTTATTGTCTATTCCAAGGCGATAAAGAAATTTCAGTCAGGAAAGTTTGCATGCACAGACTCAAATGAATTACCTTGGAAAGTGAGAACAGACGGTGAAAATGCGAGAGTTTGAATAAGTTACCATGATCCTTTGTGAATTTTCCTTTCAGGGATTCATATGAAAAGTTGCAAAATTGCGCCCGTTAGCTCTGCCATTATGTTCGCCTATCGTTCCATCTGTCCACACATAACCTCACAACCAGTGAAATATGGCATTTACTATAATTTTTCAAATTTTTAAGAGGCACTTTACACGAAGACTTGCATGCTTTTCTGCAAGCTTGCCGAGCATAAAATACTGAACAGTGACAAATGCTACGAATGAATGCTGTAAAGAAAAATGAAACACAAAATGTTACGCATTATTCACTTTTTCCATTAGTCTTTTGGGTTTTGTGACAATGAAATAAAAGTTGGCATGTTCAAAATAATAATCTACTTCTGATAATTTTTGAAATTTTACAGCAAAGTATCCTTCTTATACTTTTCTATATGCATCCATTTCATATTTATTAATAAAACCACATAAAAATATATAACTCAGATCTGCAACTTTCATAGCAGTGAGAGTTGACTGTGGACTTTTGGGTTATGACATAAATGATTTCAGAGGAATGTACTGCCTCCATCTTCAGGGCACAAGACTGGTAACAAACCCTAGGGGAGTACATGGGACAACCCAGAAGACCACAACTGACCTAAAAATACACGCCACAAAAGAAAATACAAGCAGCTTCACCGACAAATCCCTCCACACACTGGAGTTGCACCACATAAATGGCAGGTTAAAAAAGCCTTAAATGCCAAAATTTAGTAGCAATGAAAAATGCAAGATGCTTAAGAATAGAAATTCATGCGATGTGGATGTGATCATGAAAAGGGATTCACATCAATGGAGACTCAAAGTAAAAGGGGTTGGTAACTATTGCCTGTAAGACACGCACACCAAAAAACCAGACAAATTAGCCATAAAAACATCTATAAAGCAAGTTAGAGAACTGGAGACAAGAAAGGTTATTATTCATTCGCACAAAAAATATGTTTGTTACATCTATAACAACTGTCCACCATAACCTAAAAATGTTCTCAGAGAAATAACTTTTTGAATCATGTGGGTAAAAGAGGGAACGCGTTTGCAACTTCTAAAGAACTACATTTCAGGTTTTCATGGTGGTGATCTGTCTTGTAGGTGGCGATCTTCTATCCTGAAGGCAGACTATGGATTTGGAGGTAAAAATTCCTCTGAAATGTTGGTAACCAACTTAAGGTCTACATGGTACCACAACCGAGAAGACTAACATTCATATTTTAAAAGTGTGTTTTCTATGACAAATACGTAAAGTGGGGGTTCAAAAAATACCTTCAGAGAAACTTCTTCTTAATCACATGTTGTAAAATCATGTTTATGCTTATTAATATTACACAATAAACAATAACTATTAAACTGAAATATTACCACAAATGAAAATGTATGCAAGTCCTTTCTTTTAAATCACTAATGACTTCATATTTTCTCGCATAATATTGATTAGCACTACTCGTCATTTGGCCAAATTCTTTCTATAACATATGTATCAGATTAACCAAGATTTTACTCAATTTAATGCAAACTTAAGAGGCAATACTATCAACAAAAGAGTGACATATGTACCTGCGGTCATCACTGTTGTCCTGATGAGTATTAGCATCATAGTTGGTAAATGATTCTCGCACATCAACCTCCACTGGTGTCAATTCAAAGAACTTCTTACTACCATCTCCAAGGGGAGTGCCATCAGAGAAATGAATGTCTTCATCCTGTAACACCAAAATGCACCTAACACCACTGTATTCATTCCTTATACAGCGTTACATTAAACACGAAAGGACTTTCAGATAAGATCAGATTTAAGGTTCTCATGATGAATATGAAGATGGTCGTCTCCTTGGATACTGCACCATGTAATCTGACAGATGATGACCAATATTTCTGAGCAGTTAACTGCTTGCTCTGAAATGTGAGTCAGTATCTACCAGACTACAGAGCGCAACATCCCAGAAGACGGCCATCTTCACCTTTAAATGATCTGTAAATAATTTGTAAAGAAACGTCATTTATAAGAAATTTTCTTTACGGTTTCTTAAACTGAAAACTAAACATTAAAAACATGACTTATTAATATTCTGTTGTGTACACTGCTAACTAAAACCAGTTAATCCAAACACAGAAAAAGACATTTGCGTACAACGCATTACAAAAAGGTCACGAAGCACTGCAAAGGAACAATTTGCATCAATGGGGGAACGGAACTTCACAAGACCACATCAAATTTGTCATCTCCACCATTTTAATAAACATTCCACATTCATTAGTCACACCTACACCGACTCTGAAAACCTGACTAAAACACAACCCAACAAAAACAGCTCAGTTTTGAAGAATGTCATGGACTGGCAAAGAATCTTCAACTCTGGAATCTAATGAAATGAATCACCCACCAGAAACCAAAAGTGGTTTGTCTGGATAAGCACAATACGATAAAGGACATAGAATGTAGCCAGGAAAAGTCCATGTTACATAATTCTAGCTCAAGTCAAAACCGTCATCATCTACGCTGGAAAATAAGCCACTTTCCACGCAAATGCCTCAACCCCCGGTGGGATTGCGATTCCTGGTTAAGGTCATGAGATTATTCACTTTAATGTGGCATGTACACTGACAATATTTCCTAGAAACAAAACCACCGCTTTAGAACACGTTACTATCTCGAAAAATATGTACTGTGTGTCAGTAACAAAGTTTATAAATTGACAACGTCTTGCAAAACAGAGACTATGTAACAGACCAGAGAAATCTGTTAAACATCCATCACATCTTTAGAAGCATCTCATCAGAAAATACAGATCGCCAACCTCACTTATAAGTTTAAATGGCACGGCACGTAGTATACGCACAAAAACAAAAGAAAAATAATTAAAACAGACAGAATGTTTCGTATCAAGCTTTCAAAATATATAATAAAACAATGAACGTAGAAACATGGTATTTACACATTATATTTTACAGGCATACACACACAAGTTAATGATGGAAACAGAGTTAAGATGTTTTATTTGCAACAGGCAGGGAAAATTCTTATTCACAACGGTCTTATTAACTCAACCCTAATTCTTTCTCAGTAATCCTTTCCCCTTATACATAAACACAGACATGGGCATATACAAATATATCTATATAAAGGTGGTCCATGGACACATTCTGGTAATCAAACACATTTTATTTTCGGGTAAGGACCACTATATGAGTATTTTATGCGGCAGAAATTCATAAAGATGTCACTAGTTTAGAGATAAGTGATATGTCAACAACAGTAATTTCATAAATGTTACTCAAAGATCAAAATCTAGCGAAGTTCAGATATTTGGGAACAATGGTAAAAAATCAAAACTGAATTCGTGAAGAAATTAAGACGAGATTAAATCCAGGAAATTTATTCTACGAAGCACTTTTGTCCCTGCTGCAATTTTAGAAACAGAACGATTAAAATTTTCACCGTGAACCTGTAATTTTACGAGTGTGACTGCGGAAGATGGGAAATGCACATAAAATTCTAGTTGAGAAGCCTGAAGAAAAGGGACAACTCTGAAAACCTAGGTATAGAAGAGACGGCAGGATAATATTAAAACAGATGTTATGGAAATACGGTGGAAGGGCATGGACTCGGTTCATCTGGCTCCAGATAGGGAGGAGTGACCAGCTCATGCAACGCGGTAATAAACCTTCGGACTCCACAGAAAATAAGCGATTCGCTGCTTGACAGAGGATATTATCAGATTCTCAAAAAGGACTCAGCTCCATGGAGTTAGTTACTTGAAGATCACCGTCACCACCAGTTACTCCATATCTGAAGTAGTGGTTAGTGGAGTTGTTCTTTACTTTCAGTGGCCAGGAGCAGCGACAGTCCTCTCCCATTCCGCTACAGTTTCTCTTTGATGGTTCTCATGTTGACGTGATCCAAGTAACTAACTACAAACAATGTAACAGGCACAATATTGTTACGGGTTCTGCTCTTGTCTGATCGTGATGGGGAATGGTTCCAGACTACGGCGTTGTCACGTTACAGGAGGAGTAAACAAGTCTCGTCCAACGGCACACGTTTAAATGATCTGCTCAGGCCATTGTCTGAAACTGAAATGACACACCAGAGCAGTTATTGGAGTCATTTTGCTGGCCAGTTGCTGCAACACCAAAACAGCTTGCTAGTAACCACTGTTTCTCTGACATTTATTCCGTCATTAAAATTCATAACTGTCGTGTAATTATTACCGGTGTTGACGTTCACTGGCTAGTAGCGGCATGACTGCCGTAAATTAAGAGACTGACTCCTTTGTTCTTTCCTGCTCCTGCCTCACTTAAAAATGTGGATTTTCTGAGAGTCCTGACATATTTTTTTTCCTGTTTGTTTCTTTCTCCTTTCTTAGACTTTCAGTATTTAATTTACCTGTAAGGCACAATACATATATGAATAAAATTCTGAAAAGCCTAAATCATTTATAGACAAAATACATCCGTTCTTTTATATTGATCAATATGTACTTTCTATTCTACTGGAGATCGAAAATGTTTTAAACTCCCATACTATCTACATTCAAGAGCTTCAAAGAAGCGTAAACTAAACTAACTTTATGTCTTATGTATCAAAGTCTAACAGAATAGGAAAAATAATGACCTCACAAGTTGATTCTGAGATGTCAATAATAAATGATGAAAAATCATAAATGATTACAGAACTACATTTACTGTTCAATTAGTCATCTCACACAACAAATAGCATAAAATTAATTGCTACAAACAATAAAGTATCCGCACTTTCCCAAGCTTTGAATGCTACACACGCTGCTGAATATTACTAGGAATAACAGTGACTGTTTAAAATAACTGTTACTTCCAGTAAAATTCACTGGAAATGCTGTTACTCAATAATCACTTGATCACTCAATTGTACACCTGTTTAACAATTTTCTGCAAACTCCCCCGTTTGTTTTTGATACCGACAAACAAGAATATTCAAGGGTGAAACGAGGAATTCTGTCGCGTGCTATGCATCCTAAGAAACTGACCACTCTGCGTGGTTCGTTTCTGCACCTTACAGTCAAAACTGTACTACAGGATCGTATTTACCGATATCATGTTCAGTAAATTGGAAGGATGAGGTAGGAAGTGGTCACGGCGTATTTCAGTGTACTAGTGTGTGACATCTGCATGGAAGCATTAATGAAGACCACACGGAAACGCAGTCACAACATATATTCCATAACCTACAGTTCAACTGCTATTTTCAGAACACAAGTCATAACTGTCCTAATTGGTTCCCAGTGCAGAACCAAGCGGAAAGAAATTACAGTAAAACCTTGGAAGACATGTTTTCCAGTAATTTACACAATCTACTTCCACTTTCATTAATTTTCGTACCACTTCAATGGTTTTGTTCCTGTATTTTATGCAATTTTCTTTTTATCCAATCAAATTTTACTTTTGGTAGCTAGCTTCTTTCACAAGTTAGTCACCATCTTGCAAGCATCATTTCAGCTCTCAGTGTAAGACTGCTTCAGTCAGCTGCAGCTGCTGACATCTTAATTTCATCGCTACTACTATTAAATCTGTCAGCTTAGTCTTCTGGTCATTTTATTTGAATTTGCTTGTTTGATAATGAATGGCGGTAATAAGAAATGAAAGAAAAGCAATTTCCTTAGAAGAAATTACATTCATCGCCCTGATGACGGAGGCAGTATGACCTCTGAAACGTTGGTTAACATCGACCAGACTACACAGCGCAACAACCCAGAAGACAGAAATCTTCAGACTCACCGCTGTGAAGACCTCAAATCTCACAAATACAAATTAGTGTGGAAATTTCTAGAAGACTTCAGGTTATTTTCTCAAGAAGTAAATACAATGCTCATTGTGAACAGAAACCTTCACAATGTCGACAGACCACAATTCATATACACACACAAATGCCACAGGCAGTTGCTGACAAAAACACACATTACACGAGCCTACCATTTGCTCTTGTTTAATTGACAGCAAGACGTCCGATTCCAGCTGATCGCTGCTTGTCACATTATCGTTCCCACTCAGAGTCCCTAGTGTAGTGGTATTGCAGGTTGCTGCTGCATCTTTCTGGTACATGTCACTAAAATTACGATCCATTCTAGAAGAATGAAAATAAACACACAATGTGAAAGAAAACAAATCAATGTAAGCAAACAGTGGAATGCCTAAAACTTTGGTCACAAGGCAGCTGTAACAGCTGACGGAACTGGCCTAGGTTCCGCATCCTAATCCCCAGGGTCGACCCGCGGGCCGAGTGAGACGTCGAGGCGCTTTCCTCTGACTCTAACAATTTAGGCAGTTCTTAATAAATACAATTTCCAGTGGCTGTAATCACAGGGCTGCAGTAAGTGTGAAATAACGCTGGACGTACAGATCATCGTGCACACAGGTCTCAGGCGTTGTACCTGCCCATGCGGAGCCTCTCAGCCGTTCGGTGTCCTACGCTCCACTGGCAGCTATTACCTTCTCAAGACAGACTTCGCTCTATCAAATTATTTAGTTATGAAACTGTGAATCCTACACATGTTCAAATTTCTAACTAATGTCTGTCTGTTTCTTTAATTCTACCACCAGAGGGCAGTTGCATGCAGCAAAATTACAGATGTTGGATAGGAAATAATCAATTCAGTTAATTATGGTGTTGTGTGTGAGTTTTAACTGTGAATGATCAAATATTCTGATGTAATTCACAGAAACATGCATAAAATATGCTGCTTATACAGACTTGTGCATCTACTGTCGCTTGGCCAACCAATTTTAAAGTGTGACAAACACTGACTATTACATCAGGAGTAGATTATAAGAAAACTAAAAAAGAATTCTAAAATTGTACACATTTTTTTAAAGTATAACAAAGCAGCATGTAAGAATTATAATAATTACTTATATTTGCTCATGTATGAAAGCTGAGAAACTGTGTTATTTCTGATAACCACGACTCAGCAGAAACAAACAAACAAACACCTGTTTTGCTGTAGCGTACAAAAGGACATGCACAGAGCAGGGCACAGACTAGTAAATAAGTATTCTGTTACAGAGCACTGTTTCCTCAAAGGACCATATAAAAACTAAAATTAAATAACATTATACAACAAAATAATTTATATTTGCTTACTTAAAGAATATAATAAGATTTAATTTCATGTAATCTCAAATAATAACATACATTCAGGTTATAATAACTGAAAATAGTGATTTTAAAAAATGATAACCAACCAGCACTTACCTCTCTATTATGTGGATACATTAACGGTGTAGAATCCTCTGCCAATTCAAACGCCAAAGTTATTTATTTCATTAGGGAAGACGAAAAGCCTGATTTTGTGTAACTCATCACAAACATAGAAATAAGAAGAACTTAATTTATGTTCACAATTTTAAGTTCCAATAAGTTATAAGAAATAATTACTGCAAGCCACTAAGAAAAGTAGACTGGTGAATAAAGCATATTTTGTGAATTTGATTCACTCTTCATTCCATCAATATTCCACTGTATTAATGAAAGAACTGAAAACTGAACTGCATGCATCACCAAACACTTTATCATCAATCTGCTTTTTGTACACATGAGAAGCAAATTGAAATAGATAAATAAAAGCCATGCACAAAAAACAATATTAATGTTCAAGGCAGGTTTCATAGAGATGTTAACGGTGCAAAACACACCAAGACAACCATGTATTAGTTACAAAATATGCTGGCAAACAGCTGTGCCAGTGCTGAGTTAGAAACCAGTCTTACGGAGACGGAGCCAATCTCCAAAATGTTGGGTTTTAACTCAAAAATGATGTGGCTGGTCACTCGAGATATCTTTCTCAAAGAATCCCCCTTCCTTTGCACATCAGTTTTAACAAAGAAGTGTATGTACAAATTAAGACATATAACATTTTGTTCAGAAGTACGAAATCTCGGTCAAATAAGTTCCAAACAAATGGGAGCCACCAATACATAAATGGTCTAATGAAGCTACAGTAGCTTTATAACCAAGTACTTAATTTAGTTTCCTTTACACATGCATAGTAACAAGAAAAATAAAAGTCCCATTAACACAATTTCGAATGTTGTGATAAGCCAACTTCTGAAACATGCATGTTTTGTTTAAATCTAAAATCTATCTGATATTGGCATTGTCCGGTTACAACATAACCTAAATATTGAAAGTTCCTGTTTTGACCACAGCAATCATTAGTATACAGTTCCAGATAACATGAAAATACATCTACCTTTGAGTAACAACAAATTACGTCTACACAACTTATTAAATATGAAGTTTCAACGTACATGTCACCTAACAGCAGCCATCTCAATGTTGTATGCCTCTGAATACGTAAACACACATGTGCAGAACAGTTATCCGCGTAAGAGCACACTTCATCTCAAATTGCTTCTAAACACTGGCACAAGAGTGCGCAATTGTTTTAAATTAAAAAACAAATATTTTCGGTGATGTATAATTTATGTTGGAATCTAACTAACAAAGAAAGTAAATTTAAAGAATGTCCACGACCCGTTGTTGCGTATCATAGTTACTATACCTCCTTTGTTCGTACAAGACGAAGTTACTTTTAACGGGTTTCGTTTGGTTTGTATAAAATCAAACCTCTCTTGATATTTATGTAATTCTTGTCTTTCTAACAAAGCCGTTAAAAACCATATGGAATATGTGGCCTTGAACAGTTGGATGATTTGTAACGATTATTGGAAATCGATTGTAATCATCTGCGTTGCAATGCCACGTAATCTTGTATGTGGTTACGACATAGCTGACGGTCGAACAAAAGATACAGTCCATATATTCACCGTCGGATCATTCCTCGACTGTGATTGGCCAGTTCCTTTTCTCCTAGACCTTCAGACCCTATTCAGCAAGACAGCTACTCAAAACCGTAATCCTCATCGTAGCAGAGTATGAGTACGAGGCCTAGGACGTACGGGGGAAAAGCTTTGGGATGCCGATGGTGTTCCCGGCAGGAAGGTGGAGCTGGAACAGTTCCTCGGTGTCGATGTTTGCCTCCTGAACGAGACGCATCTAGCGTCGGGTCGGGGATGGACCGCCCGACGCCGGGGGGAGGCACAGCGATCCTCGTCCGCAGGGGCACGGGTCTGCAGCTCCTGCAGGCCTCTGCCATTCACCTAGTGATGGCGACCAGGACAGTGAAGCTCGTGGTGGCATATCTCTCGCCTACGCGGCCCTGGACCGAGTGCCTGAGCGGGGGGATCCCAGTCCTAGTGGCTGGTGACCTCAACGCGAAGCACACGGACTGGAATTCTAGGCTGATCTCTGCGAGGGGTTCGCTCCCAAGCAATGCGTTTAGTGCACAAGAAGACTCTGCCCTTAGTTACCTTTTTGGTTGGTTGGTTGGTAGACCACTACATCAGCCCTGAAAAAGGAGAAAAGACGCCAACATCAGATTTGGAATTTGTACTTCTTTTCCGCCTTACCAACTTTGCCAGTTTTTCTCTACTGTCAGATTTCATTAAATTAGCAGCTTAATTGCATTTCAAATTGTAGTTGAAATGCACTAGTAGTTCGGCGTTTACGATTTCAACTTTCATTACTCCAAATGCTTTGTATAACACGGAACACTCGCTCCATGAAAGCATTTGATGGTGGTCTGGCTTGAAGACATTTGGATGGTTAGAAAATTCATACAAAATATGAGAAATATTATGCTTTTGAACACTTTCTTTGTTCTCAGAATGACTCGGCCCTGAAACACTTGGTTCAAGTTCTTCTTTAATAAAGGGCGAAACTTCATTCAGGTAAGAAATCTCCGTAAATAAATAGTCGCCATCAACCTCCACTTTACACAAATTCAGCAACATAAACGTGATATTCATATCGAGAGGTCGGTCGAGATATATCGGGGCTCGAAATTTATAGAACGAATCTTCTCCGAAATCGAACGTGCTATCGATATAGTCTGGAATTCGAGTGAACAATCGCTGAGCATCCTGGATGAAAGCATTTTGTTCTTGTGGAGAAATTTTCTTCAAACGTCGTTAATTCCTTGAATCCATAGAAATTCTTCTGCTGACTGTTGGAAAATTCTTTCTCCAACTTACTGAATACTGACTACATTTTATTAAATTAATTTCTACCTGTTTAGAGTTTACTTTAAACAGACTCAGGACATTTCATCATTTTCATAAGCAAAAATTGTCCATATCGGTCAGCTCACGTTTTCTTAAACCTTAGCCGTAGACACTGAGGGGTGTCCATAAGAATTAGGAATTGATAGTTTTGTGCGAGTAGAAAATAACATGCCTGTAGGATACGCTTGCCGTTGCTTGTCTTGGCGGTCTGTATTTCACGATGATTGTCGTTAATTTGTCTTATTTCGGTCGTGGTTGTTTAATCGAGACACAGCAGTTGGAAACTCTGAGTTTAATGGCGTTCTATCCGAATGTCCATGTGAACGAAGCGCTAGGCGGATCGCACGACAAAGGAATGACGATTATGAGATCGTTGGAAGGTACCAAAGAAAACCACGGAGGATCTTAGACACAGCTGTCGGTACCCAATCGAGTCCTGTTACCAGATTACAAAGTTATTTCGGACAGTAAGTTACCTTCTTAAATAGAACGTGAAATGAAATTCCTTGGCCAATTATATTTATGTAGTCTATGAGATTGTGGGTAAAATTGGAATTCATATGCTGTAATATCACAGTAAATGTAAAATAATTAATAAGAATATTAAATTGTAGCCCGTATTTAAAACACGGTGTGTTGAGATCAATTATTTCGAACGTAGTTATTCTGATAAAAAAACTTTCAGTGAACGGCGGTAATTAACCTTCGGTTTCCATAAGGAGCGGGCAATTCTTGATTAGTTTCTTCAGAATGGCTTTTTCCCACGGAGAGAGTTACGATGCTTGAAGGGTTTAAAAAAGTTTCATTTCGTTTGACGAATTTAAAACGTCAACCCAGATCCATAACGTTGCGTGTTGCGAAGGATTCACGCCAAAGGGAGTGGCGTAGTCGTGGTTTTACTCAGATTCTCCAATGAAATGTCAAGGCGGTTCGTTGTCACGAAGTTTAAATTCCTAAATCTTGTTTCATTGCATTTTCCTTCGAGAAGTCACAGGCGATTCAAGACGATGAGGGCTTAAGATGACAAGTTCTTCTTCGACGTCGTAGGTGTTTCTCGTGCGGTGTTAACATAGCAGACAGAAGGGCAGAGAGTCAGAGGTGGGGGGGTGGGGGGTGCGGGGGCTGCAGCTCTGATTTATCAGCGCGAACGACATTCCGATTAACACAAACAAAAAAGTAGCAGCAATGGAACTTTTGTTCTGGGCTGATTCCTTAAAATATTATAAGCCCATCAGCTAAATTATGAGACCACAAGTTTCGAGAGCAAATGACGGAAGGTTACTCGAAGGAAGATCCCAACATTCTGGTATAAATCACAGTTAAAAAGGTACTTGAGTAAGTTATTCAAGTGGAATTATTACGTCTACGTTTGTGCTGTGTTTGTTGAATGTTGTGGAGACTTCGTAACAACCGTCGGCTCTGACTTATTTATTCACGGACGAACTTGTTCACCAGTTGCAGGGCGCACGCGGATTGAAGAAACCAAAAACAGGACCCGCGCGGCGGTTCAAAGAAGGAGAGGCGACCCGCCGAGGTAGTGACAGCGGAAAGGAATAGCGCGGGGTCTCGCCAGACAGTCTCATAAAACCCGGAGACAATCTCCCTGCTGAGCAGCTTCACAGAAGCTCCACGTCTAAGAACGGTAACGAGAGGACAAATGCTCTGCGATGAACCTGACACGGATTACAAATCATAATTCAGAAGGCAAAACCTTGCGGTTCCCCGCCGACCACGAGCTCAACAAAGAATTCCCTGTTGATACGGATTACAGCCGGTTCAATCCACTTCCGACTCACTGACCGATTTGTTGTTCAAAGTTTATGGTTTGTCGATAGTCCACGTAAAGCCTCAGGGTAATAGCCAGTCTTCAGGCCGAGATCTGGACCCAGAGCCTCCGGAACAGGAAACAAGAGGTAAGCGGCTTTAATCGCTGTAACAGTCCCTGGAGAAACGGAGGAAAACATCGGGAAGAATCGGGCGCCAGGACAACGCGGCGTCCACATGGACACGGGCAAGTGACGAGGTGGGCGGACTGGAGCATTCGGAAGATGGTTCAAGGCTCTAGCGAAGTTACTGAAGCCAGAACGTGGCCGATCACAAAATGGAGCAGTTTAACTTCTCTCAAAGACGCTAACGGCACTTGTAATGTCGCCTTCTTGCGGAAACACGGACTTTAAAGAAAGTCCTCCACTTACACGCGCTGACAGCCGACTGCGGGGGCGTCGTTGTTTTAGTATTTCTATTCAGCTTGTCAGGTTAGCCGTGGAATTGCTCGCAACGTCCACTTGTCCGCGCCACAGTCTTCATCGCGATGTGAGTGGACACTCCTCCGGCCGCGTCTCGGTGCATTCATTATCCTGCTAATGGGACCGTTAATTAAAATGTTTCGTGACGAACGGCCGGAGCCCGATCGAGATGTCCCCTTGTTCTTATTTGCAATGCAAATAGGGTGGCCGCATGCAGCGGGAGCCACGCGCTGTTGGTGGCCCTCGGTCTGACAAAAGGTAGGCCCTCCGTAAGCAACAGACTCCACGGCACAGAATTATCCACGAACTTGTAACAAAATTTCCCGTCTTTGTGGAATACGGAGGTTCGTAGTCGCCACAAAATCCCGACGAACGACCACATTCTTAGGCAATCCAATCCACGTCTTCGCGGCTTCTAGGCTGCTCGTAGCTTAGATCTCAAATCGTATTCTGGGACTCCACGACTATACGGAAAGCAGGCTTCGTGAGGTCGGATTCCTGACATTCATTACACCTCTTGTACAAATCCATTCCAGTCCAATTGCTTCCGATCCTCCTAATATTATGAATCTGTTAACGTGCTCGCTACTGGACCCACGGTTCGCGGGTTCAGACCCGGCCGAGGTCGATGGATTTTTAAGGGCACAACTTCTTCCTTCGGAGGGGAAGTAAAGCCGGCGGTCCCTTTCGTAAGAAAAAATCCGGAGACCACGTCTCACCCAAAAGTCTAAAAAGGGGCCAGAAACCTCCGGAAGGAGGTCCCTGTGCTCCAGGAGATAAGATGTCAGCTTCTGTAGACTGGCAGTTTAACTTCAACGCACATAAAAGTTAATTTCACGACAAATCTCCGACCAAAGCGACGTGTGACATGTTCCTGCTACTTCAGTTGGTTCAGAACTGCACAAAGAGGTTGCGGGCGCTGGCTGAGAGAACAAAGCGCGTTCCTCCGACAAAAGAGAGTTCTTGCGCGAAAAAACTTTAACCAACTTCGTGGAAGAGAAGTTCTTGATAAACTGACAGTCGGTGAGCTGCTCAGCAAATTGGCCGCTTTGTATACGAAAAGCGAAGGTTCACATTGAACTGCCACTGGACCCTGTAGTGAGCCAGATGAGTCCAATCGAAATCCTTAAGAAACATCTATATTCTTTTTTCTCACACATGCGTATAGATGTTTAAGGTAAGGTTTACTGACCAAAATTTTGTGTGCACTTATGTAAGGCACCAGCGTCGGAAATGCTCAGACCTAATTCGTAAAAATGCTCGCGTTTCTCGGTCGTAATTCCTGAGAACTTAAAATACGATGTTCGTCCGTTCGGTGCTTGAAATTGGCCACGCCCACTTCCACCCACGGTTCGAGCAGCAAACAAACAAGCCTCCAAAACAGAGAACACGCGTAATGGCGCAGCCTCGTCCTCATAAGCCGATGTTATCTGAAGGTTAGGCAAAAGGCCTGCAGATGGCAGGATTCTGAGTAAGAATGAAAGGCGAAACAGATGACGACTGCGTCACGTGGTGTACTCACATCAGCAGGTGAACTGTGACCTGCCTGCCGGCAAGTGGGATGGATGCCCACATTCAGAAGACATTCTCTTTTAACGTAGGACGCCAAGGGTACGAAATGCGGGACTGTGGGACACGCTGCCTTCACGTTCACAGACAGACCGCGCCCTGAGGATGGGCGCGGAAGTTTCTGACGCATGAAACTTCTACTTTTACGCAACCTGAGGACTTGCAACAACCTTGTCGTTGCGCCGTGCAGTATCGTAGTAGTTCCAACCTTGTCGTTGCGCCGTGCAGTATCATAGTAGTTCACCGACGTTTCGGAGGTAATTGCCGCCTCCATCGTCTGGGCGATATTGAGAACCTCGGGTCTTACCTTCTCTGTGTTAATTGTAAATTCTTGAAACTTTGGTATCCACGACGATTTATTTCCATGAGATTTTTCAACAAAACTTGGTAACTATTTCTTGTTTCCTCAATTCTTAATTGCACAAAACCGCAATTAGGTTACGGACATTGACGCAGTGGTTTGGTGAAGCGTGTGTTAACAAACAACCCTAGCAACATTAAGGCGATGAAATCAGAGAAGGGATGTGATGTTCAGGGCATGTAGCACGCACGGCTGTGATAACATTCATAGAGAATTTTAATAGGGAAACACGAAGGGAGGAGACTACTTGAGAAAATTGGGTAAAAATGATGATAATATTAAAATGGACTTTACGCAAATAGGCGCGTGATCTCTCCCAGGTCATATTTCAGTAGCGGGCAAGAAACAAAATGTTGTCGTATGCAAATATCAGAGGCCAACGTGGTCTTAATTACCACCTTTCGACAGGAATAGCGCAGTTACACTGGCCTGTAATTGTAGGCCAAAAGTGGGCTATGTCGCGTGTCGTAATTCCACGCTGAACACAAAAGTGGGCTATGTCGCGTGTCGTAACTCTACGCTGAACGCTGAACATAATGCAGAAGCGGCCTAAAGGGATTAACCATCGACGGATGTACGAAAGTCTCTCAGCTTAGAATTTCGCTGTATATTTTGATATGTAATTACGGGACATTTGTGCGGAGAAGCAGATGGATTTATCCGGGAAGCTGGAATCTCAAGCGCAGTGCGTCGTGAAGCTAGCGATCCGTAGATAAGACGCTGGTTGCAGGAACTCGAAAAACAAGTTCGGGCTCATTTCAGAAAAAACCCACGAACTGAAATGTAAGAGCCACAAGCGCAGTGCTACCAAAACACTTGTAAGTTCAAGAAATGTCCCTGGAGAAATGTCCTTTGCAGTAACTATCACGTCGCAAAAATTCTGCCCTTGAATTCAAAGTTTCAAAGTAACCAACAAATCCGACATCTACGTTTGTGCTATTTGTGTGATGACGCACTAAAAGAGGCACGAGGGGTTGATCATGCAGCACGCATGCGATAAATTATACATTTTAATAGGGAAACACACGCATGCGATAAATTATACATTTTAATCGGAAAACAAGAAGGAAACAGAGTAGTTGAAAGAGCTAAGCGTAGATGGGAAAATGACATTTTTCTTAAAAAATGGTACACGAGGGTGTAGCTTCATGTGCCTCGGAAGTGTGAGAAGAGGACTTTTGTGAACAAGGTAATGGACATTCGGCTTCAATATGAGTCGGGATATTATTTTGGCCAGTTCAGTGACTGTCAGCTTCTCAAGAAAGACTTTTAAATTCGTGTGAAAAGGCTGTGGGTTCGAGGTGATGGTGAGGGAGGGGTCAAGGTGGCTTGAGATCATTCTCACCGCTTACCTCCATCTTAATACGAGGTTAAGACAGCGCGGAGCTTTACCGCCACTTCCCCTCTCGCCACCGTGATCTTTACATCCTGCACGGGCTCGTATTTCGAGGGCGCAGGACCCAGACAAGCGACTGAAATAAAATGAAATAAAAAGAAATCACCAAAGACGCTATAGAAATTATTTGGGGTCGTAATTTATTGCCCGCTGCTGACCGTAGCCCCAGATACGCCGCCTCGCCTTCAAATTTGCTGGATAGATTTATTGGCTCGCCCGGGGGCAGCGCACGGGAGCAGCGGACCCCAAGACCCGAGGCGCACCGGACACCGCCGAGGTAACCGGCAGACGCGGTTCACAGCAAGCTGTGTTGACTGACAAGGTTCTTGCCGTCGTATGACATGAACCGGAAGGGACCTTATCTGTAGAACTAGGTCTCTTACCCTGGACGATGACGCTGAGAGGGGAATATTCGGACCTCTGACGGATTAAGCGAGAGAACTTGATGATTTGAACCTTTGCCCAAATATTAACACGGTGATCATCTCAAGAACTGTGGTTTATTAAATGACGCTTTTTCAGTAGCGTCGAGTGACAGGATGATAGTGAATTGGAAGGGATGTGGAAGGACGCGGTCATGACCTAATTGAAGATAATATCCCGGCAATTGCCTGGAAAGACTGAGGAAAACCACGGAAAACCCTTGTCAGGACAACCGGTCCCCGGACCGAGATTTGAACCCGGGACTTCCCGAATAGGAAGCAGGAGTGCTAACCACTGCAACACTTCGGAACAGATGGCATGGAAATGTTAAGGTAAAGAAGGTTTTGGTGTGACGGTGTAGCAGGATTTAACTGGCGGCGGTGGAGGGGGGGGACGTCTGAACGCCCGGATGTCCTGGTACCTTCGAAGCCGCGTAAGAATATCTGTGGTCGATGTTTTTGCGTCGGTTAGTACAGTGGGCGGTATCAGCCAAAGACGAGGCAACGTTATGGACACTGAAGATTAAACGAATCTAAAGAAGCTACATTGAGTTAACAAATTGCCGTTCTTCGTTAATAAGGACAAATGAACCTGCTTCATTTCGGACATCAAATACGTAATTAACGGCGGCTCTCTGCAGTAAAGAGTCAATGTAATGATTGTTTTTATAACTTGGAGAGTCGAGGTTCTTTCTCCCGCGTCTTTTTTCTTTTTATATTCTGATGTTACTTTTATTATCTTGCTCTAATATTTATAACATTTAATTTCGAGCCATTTAAAGCACCAGAACACGTGTTCCAAACAGGGCGTCGCCCGGTACAAGACAGATCAAATCATCACCAAAAACAACTTCATATGACGTCCTACAATTCTGAAGAACGGAGCTGAGGTCATCGTGGAACGGCGGGCAGAGCGTAGGGACGCCGAGGGCGTCGACGCGAGTCAAATTTGGATTTCTATTAATGGACGTGTTTCTGAAAAATAAGACGTCGTGGGTGTACGCGATGGTCTGTATTTAACGCCGTCTGACCTTCGAGGTGAGTACCAGCTTTTCGGGAGAACATACTGCGTTCATCTTCAGAGTATGCACCCGGTGCAGATGAAAATTCAGTTCTTCTTACTTCTGCCTCCGTCATCAGGGCGAGAAACATCGATATGAAAACATCCCGAAGACAGTTGAGACAAGTCAAGATAGCCAAATAACTATTTTATAGAACAAACAAGTCAAAACAGATAGAACCATTCGAAATAACAAACCAGAAATTATAATCCGATATAGGAGTACCAGCTGACAGGAATGTGATTAAGAAGGAAACAGAGAAGATCTTGAAATACAAGGAAATTCTCGTTGAAATACAGCGAATGTGGAAAATGAAAGCAAAAGTAATCCCAATAATTATAGGAGCGACTGGAACTGACTCCAGGTCGCTCAGAAAATATTTGCCCAACATTCAGGGGCGAACACGACATCAGGGAACTTCAGAAGACCGCCATTTTCGGATCTTCATATAACATTCGAAAGACGCTGTCGTAAAATAAAATTATAAAATTCATGTGGCACTTGCTAGAAACAATATCTATCCCAGAAACAGCTGCTGCCCTGTGTACCTTAGGGACAAGGTCTGTCTCAGGCACACAGAAGTACAAACCCCATAAAGTGGTGAATAGATGGGACGATTATGTTAAGTTGCACAGTCAACTTTAAAATATGGGGTGGAAGTTAACGTGGCCTATTTGGAAATTCGTGTCGAAGATCTGAGGATCTCTGTCACAATCTTTGATGGCCTCTGCGGTGATCGAACTCCGTCAAAGCTCGTCTGTCAACATCCGACTTCTTGGTAAGATCAGGTCTCGTAGCTCTTTCGATGTGTCCAGGGGACGGCTCCGTCCGTTATGCACATTCGGCGCACAAAAGAGAATTAGAATAGAAGAGCAAACACGGATAAACGTTGGCCAGGAAAGTGACGGACCGAGGCATGCGCGAAGGAGAAAATTACACAATGAGGAGCTTCATTTTATCAAAGTTTTAGAATCGCGGATTACGACATGGGCGAGCGATGTAGGAGGAATGGAAGAGAAAAGAAAGAAAGAAAGAAGAAGAAGAACAAGAAGGCTTGAAGGAAAGAGGACACTAAGCAAGACCTAGTCACAGATGAAAGGCTGACACGGAGATCAAGGACTTGGTTCATCTGGGCGAACCGAAGGCGTAGCAGCGAGGCTCTTGTGTGACTATGATAATAAATTGACCTGACGACGGAGGCAGCAAGTACCTCTGAAACGTCGGTGCAGATTACCGGACTGCACGGCGATAAATTCCAAAAGACAGCCATAAAAAACCACGGGATCCATAAAACCACGCAATTTCTTACCCAGAGTTGACGCCCTGATGCAGGATTGTCAGAAGCCGAAAGCTGAGGGTTTGGCTTAAAGGCGCTGCCAGCAGCTCAGACCTCTCACGGTCATTAATGAATGATGAATTGGAGTAAGCGGTCGTGGCCTACTTTTAGGTGGCATCACAGAATGTCTTCTGGAGCTGAGGTAAACGAGAAAGTCTTCAGATTTGGATTCGAGCCGGAGACCAGTCCACGAGGGAGAGACCAGGAAGAACCTGAAACGCTGTCACGAAGACACGTGTGCTCCAAAGGTCAGGGCAGACCACCCTTGAGAGCGCGTCGGCTGTTTCTTTCCCTGATGACAGAAGAACTCTCACCCGAGGCAAGGAACGAGGGTACCAGACGCGCCAATCCTGGCTAGGGCACATCAAGGACCTTATTGGAAAGGGCTTGTGAGGTCACCATTTAGTTTCACGTTGCGGCCGCTTTGTATCTCGTAAAAATAACCCTCACCCCGTTCGTAACCTACCGGATAGGAGGCTGGGCGGGTCCCAGAGCCGGTCCGGTGAAAAGGATTCTCGCTTCCGATTTCGAGGGTCCAGAGAAGTGAATGCACTGACAAAATTCTATGCTCACTTCGGAATTTATTTATCCGCTAGACAGGATATTTAGCACTGGATGACTTGAGATGAGACCAGCGAGGACAAAGCTCAACCAGAACAGTCGAAGTCGAACCCCGGGTGTCTGACGGATTGCGCCACGACTTACCTCGTTCCTTCCTCGAACAGCTCCCAGTTGCTGAAGAAGCTCATTTCCTAACCGCGGGGGGGGGGGGGGGATTTCTTTCAGACATCGGCAGATCGAGATCGGGAAGGAAGATTATCAGCTGCGTCTGTTTATTGAAATAAGAGTCTGCAGTTGCTCAGTATGGGGCGCGCAAGAGATGGCTGGCCCGTCCGTGTCTGTGAAACTATTAACCTCCTCCAGGTGGCACAGCTGATTACGTCTCTGATGAGCCCGACTCGCGGGGGACTGTGAGCTCCGGCTGGAAACTACAGGGTGTACGAGAAGTCTGCACGCTTTAATTCGACTACACTCGAATAGAACCTCTCCTGCCCTCCGTGTAATCAAAGTTGAGCAAGCCCGTAGTTCAACGAGCCGAGGTGAGAAGTCCTGACTTCTTCAATGCGAAAACACACTTTTTCGACAGGACGTACGAATTTTCGCGTGCAGTTCTTTCCGGCTATAACCAGGGCAGGATCTGAGGTTAGCACAGCGGTGAAGAAGTCGATGTTATTTTTCTCGGCTGGGACGCCGCGTGGACTAGCAAAGAGGCACGAACGATTCCGACAAAAACGATACCTCCAGCTTCAGAACCGAACGTTTTGCAGGAAAGTGTCGTCTCCATCTTCAGGGTGAAGTGAGGAGGCGTCCTTTCGTCTCCATTTCCCCATCCGTTTTCCTCCATCTTGTTGCGAGGACACCCACACCCACATACAGGGTGTTCCGTTTTAAACGCTTCGCTGATATCGATTCAACAAGGCAAACCAGTCGTTCTTAGGTTGTATTTGTTACGAAGAACTTGCAGAAGGGCTTTAGAGTAGATGTTAAAATGTCCACCGCCTTATTGCAGACACGCGTCCACCCGAAACGTTGTCACCAGCCTGTGAAATGTTGGTTTATTCGGTGTTTCCTTGTCAGGACACGCATTGCAAGAAATGATCTCGGTGCGAGAATAATCACGTTCTGGTACTGAACAGACAACGCTGTCACCCGCACAGATTCTGCGCAAGTTGCGAGACAGCGGCCTAGCAACCAGGACGACCTTCACTCCACTGTCACAGGGGTGGGGGAGAGGCTGTCATGTCGTACGTGGCCGCTGTTGAAATGCGTTTTAAGTGGCTCGCTCTGTGGCTCAACGCGGTTTTACGTCTCGCACCAAACCGTTCAGGGTTTCTTACAGATTCCATGTCAGCCTTCTGCGTCCTGCGAGCTTAGGTCATTATCCGTAATTCTGAACCGAGGCCATAATCCTCGCAGCTAAAACACGCCATTCTGTTGGCTGCAGTGATAACGTCTGGACTCCCCGCGAAGAACGAAATGAAAGTCTTTGTCCGTCTGTATCGCACGGCAGCGAAGAGAGATCTTCACGAAATTGGAATGGAGCTGACTTATTAGGGACCCCACGTCCATATCTCTTACTGGCCAGACGGTCGGGCAAAGCATTATGGGTGGAATATTTTACTCAGTAAATTACAAGCCAGAAAACGTATTTTAAGAGGTCCGAGGATCCAAGCGAAGAGCTGAAACGCGTCTTGCG